AGGCTGGGATGTGCACGTGCAGGGAGACAGGGACGGGTAAGGGGGTCTGGGCGACAAGTCACCGACACCCACCCCGTCCCTTCTACACATGGGAGCTAATTCAGGGCCAGCGAGGGCAGGGCTGGACAGTGTACCCTGACTGACTGTGCGCTTATTAAGGAAAAGCAGATAGTGCAGGACTGTAATGACATCACAATGTGTCGGGTCTAGTTATGCTAATGGATTTCTACGGCTCATCACCGGGACTCCCAGGTGGCGCCTGTCAGGGCTTTCCCCAGAGGACCCTGAGAGGCTGCTGGGATGGAGTGGGAGCCGCTCTGTTCAGTGGAGTAGCCGGCGTGTTCCCCGGAAGCCGGCTGGCTGGTGGGGCCCCTCCCCTGCTGCTGGGTCTCTGGATGGGGCTGGGTGTGAGCTGTGCTGCGGGAGAGTGAAGCAGGAGGGGGGCTGGGCCAGATGGTACCTGCGGCTGCTCGGGGGCTGCCCCTCCCTCGTGGCCCGAGACGTGCATTCCTTGCTGGCCTGTGGCTGGGAGTGGCCAGGCGAGATGTGTCCCCCTTCCAGTTTCCCTCTGACTTTCCCCTCGTCCTGCCAGCTGGGCCCAGAAGGGCCAGGGGAGGACTCAGGGCAGCAGTGCCCCTCCTGGCCCCACCCCCACCATCCAGGCTGGCCCACAGTCAACTGGGATGTGAGCGAGAAATAAGCCTCCAGGGTTTTTGTAAATAGCGGTTAATCTGCCCTGACTAGTGCAGGCTATTTTCCTGGCATATCCTTTGAAGAAACAGTAAATAACATTTGCAGGTAAGTCCCCTTCTTTAATGTACTGGCACATCAATGCCCTGCCTCTCCCAGCCCACCAGCCACAGCTGATCACTTTAAGGGTGTGTAGATGACCTAAACTGAGTTGGCCACCTCCCCAGGCTGGGACCTTTGGACTGGGAGTTGGGTAGGCTGGTGTTGGGAGTTGTGTCTGAGAGGGGCCCAGTGGGGCAGCCGTTGTTTGCTGCTGGGCACAGAGATGGGGCTGCGTGGCGGGAGAGGACGCCTTGCACCTTGGAGAGTGAGGAGCTGGGCTCGGCCCTCCTGTCCCAGCTGTCCTTTCCTGTGTTCTCTGATGGATTCCTGGTTTATATGATCAGCTCCCTGTGTGTCTACTTTTACTGGCATTCATTTGTCGCAAACTAGAGTTGACTGACAGAAGTCACGTGGAAGAGTGTTGGTGGAGTTCCAGAAGGGGAGAGCGCCGTACACAGTAGATTGTACGTTATGACCTTGAACTTGTCTGGTCATTGTATATAAATATATAAGGAATACATAGTGGACACCAACAGGTTGTTTCTAGGATTAAAGGCAATATAGGTAATTTTGAAACTTTCTTGGGCTTTTGGCATTTCATTTTTGTACCACCAGCTCTGGATCCTGGTTGGTCTCCTCTCGGCCCCTGACTGGCTCTTCTGAAGGATTGCCGGCCAGATTGGAAGGCTGGCTTTTACTCTTTGGTGCCTGTTGAATTCTTTCACATCTGTTACTGCCTTGTCCACCTAGCCTGGCCACACCTCCTTCCCAGGAGCCAGCTGGCTTGACTTGGTCTCACTTTCCAGAGCAGAGGTGATCATTTCTGTCCAGCCCAACCCATGGCCCCTCTCCTTCCTGCTTGTGCCTCAGAGGCTTGACGTTACAAAGCTCCAGCAGTTACACTGAAGACGTGGCAGACTCACACAGGCCCTCTCCTGGAGCTTCCTGGGACCCCGCCCAATTCTCTCCTGGGAAGGCATGTTGGTCTCCCTGCTTCTGAGCACTGGAGATGCTTGCGTGCATGGAACTGCCCCAGCTCCATGTACAGTGCTGTTGGTTGAAACTCATATTTTGCAAATGCTTGATGACAGTTTTATTTTATTGTTTGTTTTAATTATCACCCTCTTATTGCCTTGCAGCAATGTTCTTTTCCCCTGCAGGAATGTTAGCCCAAACACAGCTGCCTCCTTGGGTTCTGTGGGAGCAGAGGCCTGGAAGGAGTGAAGCAGACTGCAGGCAGGAAATGAGTTTGACCCGAAGTCTGTGTGCAAAAGTCTCAAACCTGCCCTGGGTTTGGGAATTGTCCTTAAGGCCACCTCCCCGCCCCCCCCCGACCCTGGGGGCCGACATGGCTGACTAGTGCTCTGAGGCAGCAGTAGCCACTCTCAGAGCTGACTGTCCTGGGAGGGGGGTGGTGGAGATGTTTTCAGTCCTCTTTTTGGGAGATGGGACATTCATTTATTAGGAAATTAGAAGTCAAAGCTAGTAGGAATCCATAGTTGAAACTGCTGAAGTACAGTTCAGAAATACCTTTGTTGCTTTAAATGATATCTGTGTTTACATATGAGGCATCTTGCAGGATTTATGAGGATTTTGCATCATTTACCAGGAAGTGTCAGCAACTATAACTTTCACCTTCTTGTAACTTTGCTGCTCCTTGGAATGCATGGCCTCGCCTAACAGGCACATTTATACAGTTGCAGGGACTTTGTGATGAGCGTGACAGTGCTCACAGAATGCAGATATCATTGATAACAGCAATTATTGGATTAAACAACTAAAGCAAGGAAGTCAATATTATTCCAATTTCTACTCCTATTCCTACAACATGAACGAAGGCTCTAAGAAGTTGTGTTCTCTCTAAGATCCCAGCATCGTGGGGGTGCAGTAAAAAAACTCAAGACCACCTGGCTCCAATATTGATGCCTTATTTCTCTAAACACAGGAACAATGGAACTAAAATCCACAGCAACCCAACCCAACCCAACCCAATACCACACAATACAACCCAACCTGATCTAACCCAACCCAAGTCAAGCCACCTCAACCTAAGCCAGCCCAAGTCAGACCAACCCAATCCAAGTCAAGCCAATCCACCCTAACCCAACACAAGTCAAAACAACCCAACCCAACAGAACCCAATACAACCCAACACAAGACTGAGGTGCTTAGAGAACAGGAGAGACCTCTCCCCACTGCACATGGGAGATGTTTATGTCCTTCAGTTTCCCATTCCCCTTGAATTTACTCTTGTTAGGGGCTGATTGTGACATTTCAAGGAGAGAAACATCACTCTGGGTATCCAGATCTTCCTAATATTTGATACTTATTTGGTAATGGGATTTGGTGGGGGCTTTGTTAGGTCAAGGCTATGGTTTTTCCAGTGGTCATGTACGGATGTGAGAGTTGGACTGTGAAGAAAGCTGAGCGCCAAAAAATTGATGCTTTTGAACTATGGTGTTGGAGAAGACTCTTGAGAGTGCCATGAACTGCAAGGAGATCCAACCAGTCCATCCTAAAGGAGATCAGTCCTGGGTGTTCATTGGAAGGACTGATGCTGAGGCTGAAACTCCAGTACTTTGGCCACCTCATGTGAAGAGCTGACTCATTGGAAAAGACCCTGATGCTGGGAGGGATTGGGGGCAGGAGGAGAAGGGGACAACAGAGGATGAGATAGCTGGATGGCATCACCGACTCCATGGACATGAGTTTGGGTAGACTCTGGGAGTTGGTGATGGACAGGGAGGCCTGGCGTGCTGTGATTCATGGGGTCACAAAGAGTTGGACACGACTGAGCGACTGAACTGAGCTGAATGTGCTAGGGGGGACCTGGGGTAGCATGTGCTGATGACTGTCAGTCATTACATGCCAGGTAGAGGAAATACCATCAGTCTTGAGAAGGATTAGAGCAAACACTTTGAATCTTGTTCTGTGAAGCTTTTGTTCAACTTTTACCTTTACACTCATTTGGGTAGTTTTCTGTCCTTCTGATCCTCCCTGAGCTCACACGTCCCCCAAACTCTTCTGTTGCTGGGGAGATAGTTATGCACGTGCACTCTTCTGTCTTCCTAGCACAGGGCTGTGTGCTGAAGGCGCTCCTCAGCCTCTCCTTATGGATCTTGTGAAATTTCACTGTCTCATCAGAGGACTGAATCATCAGAGGATCAAACCTTTTGCAACGAGGCTTCTATGGGTAAGAGATGGTGAGAGGCACTGGTATTACGGCAGCCATTTGCAAATACCAATTATTAATCTGACAAGCCAGGGGGATTTGAGGCTTTCTGAGCCAGACACTGAGGGAGAGGCTGAACATGTTCAGTCTCTAAAAGCTCAGGATCTGGGCCCAGCGGTCCAGCAGGATCACTTCCTTGCCGTGTAAATTTGTGTTTTGGCCCGAAGTCCTTCTCAGTACAGGGAAAGGCCTCTGTCAAAAGCAGGCTGAGTGTGGCAGCTGTCCCAGGCCTGGCCGCATTCCCTTCCCTCCCCCGCCTCCTTTCTCGTGGGCCTTTCGGTGGGGCTGGGCCCTCGTGGGGCTTATCAGGTGCACCTCATTCACTGGGCTCCACTGTATGAGATGGGGCTCAGCTGGAGGCAGCGGCGTAGGGGGAAAAAAGGGCTGATTGAATTTGGTTTGGGACCAGCTCCAAGTCCCGCAGGCTTGCTAATGTTTGGGGGTGATTTCCATATCACTCTAAAGTTGCTTGTCTTTCTCCCAAGGCTAAGCCTGCTGCCAAGAGTGGAGGACTTAAAGCTGAAGGCTGCCCTAAAGATGGGAAATGAGGCAAACTCCATTTCTGGAGCTTGTGCTCTGCGTGTGTGTGTGTGTGTGTACGTGTGTGTGTGTTTGTGTGCATACATGTGAGCACATGCATGTGTGAGCATGATGGCCCTTGGCTCCCTGCTGACTCCCTGTCATAGAGATCACAGTGCTGAGGAGATACCCAAGGACTGGCTAGACACTCGGAGGGGGGTTCTTGGAAGGAAATGGAGTGTACCAGAATGAGCTTGGATGCTCTGGAGGATTGTGCAGGGCAGGTTGGCGATGAGTGTAGGGTGACCCTCAGTGAAGCAGGAGGAGCCCGGCAGCCCACGTGCAGCCAGATCTGGTAGAATTCCGTCATGCAAGTCACTTGCTTCTCTGCACCACATGGTTGGGTAGAGTGACCCTCGGTGGAGCATGTGGAGCCGGGCAGCCCATCTGCAGCCAGATGCTGGTGTGGCATGTATGCCATTCCTGACCCCAGGAGAAGGGGACACCCTCAGCCATGGGAGGGGTGTCGGGCTGCTGGGACAGGCTGGAGATGAAGTTAGGCATGAAGAGAAGCAGAAACTGAGTGATGTCTGGCTTTGCCATGGGTTATCTTTATCCTGAAGAAGAGGACTGTGACCCTGTCAGCCTCAGATCACAAGAGAAGCCTTTCCTGAGTGCCTGAAAGGAACATGAGTCTTCCCTAGTGAAACAGTCTCAAAGAACAGATCTTTTCCTTCAGAGCTCTTACCCAGCTTATAATTAAAATGATTTTCATGTTATCATATTATCTCATGGCTGTGCTGAGTCTCCGTTGCTTTTGTGGGCTTTCTCTAGTTGCAGGGAGCGGAGGTTACTCTAGTTGTGGTACATGGGCTTCTCATTGCAGTGGCTTCTCTTGTTGTGGAGCACGGGCTCTAGGGTGCATGGGTTTCAGTAGCTGTGGCTTATGTGCTTAGCTGCCCTGCAGCATGTAGAATCCTCCTGGACTAGGATCCAACTTCTGTCCCCCACACTGCAGGCAGATTTCCAAACACTGGCCTGCCAGGGAAGTCTTCACATTTGGTTTTTAATGGTTCTCATGCTCCAGCATGACAGCACTAAAAATGATCCTTTAGTGCATGATCCTTGCACTAAAAATGCAAGGATTGTCAGGACTTTCCTAACCAGCCTGTGTCCGGTGCTCATCACAGCGGCCAACACACTGTGGAAATGTCATAGATGACGATTGCTTGAACACGTCCTGGTGATAGTGTGTGGGGGCTCATTTGCCTGCATGTGGGAAACTTCCAGAAGACCAGGTGAGATGAGGGCAGGTTGAAGCATGTGGGAGGTGGTGTGGACAAATGGAAAGAAGTGGGCAGACATGAGAAACACCCAGGAGGTTGCGGGGGGTTAGCTGCGAGGAAAGGGGGAAGGGCTGCCCAGGTTTCTTGCTGGAACAACTGCATGGATAGGGTGCCTTTTGCTGAAGTGAGTTCTCAGAGAGGAGCTTCATAAGTGGCCTGGGTGGAGATATTGCACCCAGTCCAGGCCTGGTGGCCCCAGACGTCAGCACAGTGTCACATCTGACTTCTCACTCGTTGCATTGTAGGTGGACAGCTTCTGTCTCCCATTCTTCTCCCAGGCTCTCATGCATGAGTCTGTTGTCCACACAAATGGTATGAAGTGAGTAATTCTCTGTTGTCAGCTCTTTAGATGTGGTCACTTGAGAAATGTGGGGAAAGACAGGATGAGGGCTTTGGCCTCGTGCACCGACTTTGTTTCTGGAAACCTCTGTTCTGACTCTCCGGACTTCCCTCCCGACTTAAACAGGATTGACAGGCTGGACGGGGGAGTTTGTGTGCTTCACCAAACCATCCCTGACCCCCAGTCCAGCCCACGGACCCTAAAAGACATGCCTGTTGATTGTATTACTTCTCTTCTCTCAGTTCGAACTGGTTGAGTTAGAGGTGAACACTTGATCCCAGGCCAGGTGACCAGAGCGGTCAGCCAGATTCCCTTAGGGATTTGGTCAGTGGAGGCATTTGAACTGAAAAGCCTACAGGCTTGGACTGGGGTGTTCAGGTTGGCCAGGGGAATATAAAGAATAGATGGCCCACAGTGAAAAGATGGAGGAGGATATCGATACAAAAGTGGTGATGAAAGGCCAGCTGGAGGTGGGGAGTGAGAGACCAATTTCCAGTTCTTATTTCAGTGGAAGTGAAGGGACCTCATGTCCTTTCTCCTCAAATGTCAAGGGCAGCCCAGAGAGACTGGGAATTTTACCTCTTCTCCTCGTAGGAGCAAGCTGGGGATGGAGTCACTATTGCTTGCTTCTGATTGTTTACCTGAAGTTTTCAGAGGTATAATCAAAGAGTGATAGCAAAAGTTTGTGTACTTACCGAACGGCTGGACCAAATCTTACCATTTTCTCTTTTGCTCTATTTCATGACCTCCTGAACTTCTCTCCAGTTCCACTGACCCTCTCTCAGAGGTACCCCCTACTCTAAATTTATTGTTTATCAATAATTTTTACCATTTTCGATTTACACACTGACATTATAAAGTTTGGGGACTTGGTATTAAACTTTATAAAAATTGGCTTTATTCTGTAAAAAAAAAAGCTGTAATGCTCTTTTCACTTCATGTTATATATATTTTAGATTTATCCATGTTACTTACTGAAGGTCTGATTTTTTCATTTGCACTGCTGTAGAATATTAAGTCACGTGACTGTATTCTAGTTTATCCTTTCTTGTATTGATGGTCTTTCTCACCAGCATTTGGTATCATTAGAGTTTTTAATCTGTGCCAATGGATGGATGTAACATGATATATCACTGTTGTAATTTACATTTCTACGAATACTAGTGCGTTGGCTATATTTTCATATGTTGGACATTTCAGCTTTCATCCCCCCTATGAATTGCCTGTCTATTTCAGTTGCCAGTTTCCCCCCATAGGATTGATTTGCTTATTTGGTTTCTATATATTCTGAATATAAACACTTGTTGGCTCTATGTCTTGCATAAGTTTATTTCTTATTTGTGGCTTGTCTTTTCAGTTCGTATATGGTAACTTTTCATGTTCATAGGTTTTCAGTTTTAGTGTGAAATGTATGAGACTTCTTTATGGCTGGTGCTTTTGTGTCTTAAGAAGCCCTTTCCTACCCTGAGGTCATAAGGATATTCTCTCATTTTCTTCCAAAAGTTTTTAAAGATTTGAATTTAGTTTTTAGATCCATGTGGAATATATTTTTGGTCTGGAGTGAGGAATATAATTTTGTTTTTTTTTCCAAATGAGTAACCTTGTTACCTTGGCATCATTTATTTATTATCTTGTACTTTGCCTAGTACTAATCACTCTGTCATATATACCAGCTTTCATTGCATTCAAGGTGCTGTCTTGAGCCCTTTATTTTGTTCTCTTCATTTCTGCAGCAGTGTCACATTATTTTAATTTTAGCTTTATATTATCTTTTTTTTTGCTCTCTATTTTTTTTGCTCTACCATCAATACAAGAATGGATAAACAAGGATATAGTCATGTAACTTAATATTCTATAGCAGTGCAAATGAAAATATCAGACCTACAGTGAGTAACATGGATAAATCTAAAATACATAACATGAAGTGAAAAGAACATTACAGCTTTTTTTTTTTTACAGAATAAAGCCAATTATTATAAAGTTAAATACCAAGTCCCCAAGTCCAATACTTTATAATGTCAGCGTGTAAATTAAATATGGTAAAATTACCTGATAAACAAATTTAGAGTAGGGGGTACCTCTGAGGGAGGGACAAGTAGGATGGAACTGGAGAGAAGTTCAGGAGGTCATGAAATAGACCAAAAATGTCTGATATAATTATTATGCCCACTTTATTCTTCCTAAAGACTTTTGGTCAAGTTTTCATCTTTTGATTTTCCATACACATTTTAGATCAGCTTGTCATGATACTCTAAAATTCTTGTCTGATTTTATTGAAATGACACAAAATGTTTAGACTAGTTTGCAGAGAAGGATCAGTTTCATAATATTATCTTCCCATTTATGACATACCTCTTCATTTATATTTTCCTTAACATATTTCAATAACATTTTATTATTTTTTCAGAAACATAATATATTGTTTTTGTTTTTATATTACTCTATGCATTATTATTTTTCTATTACTTTGTATACTTAAAAAAATTTTAAATATTATTTTAAAGCTACCTTTGCTTATATGCAGGAGTACAACTGACTTTAATAAATTATTTATATCTGTAATAAACTTGCAGAACTTTTTTATTTGTTCTAATTTTTTGTTTTATGTTTATTTTTTCTTGGTTTTTATTTATTTTTTTTACGCTTTGTGTATTATCTTGTTATTTTTCTACATTCTTGATTTTAGGTATTTCTCAATTCTCCAGTTCAGTTCAGTCACTCAGTCGTGTCTGACTCTTTGCGACCCCATGAACTGCATCACGCCAGGCCTCTCTGTCCATCACCAACTCCAGGAGTTTACTCAAGCTCATGTCCATCGAGTCGGTGATACCATCCAGCCATCTCATCTTCTGTTGTCCCCTTCTCCTCCTGCCCCCAATCCCTCCCAGCATCAGGGTCTTTTCCAATGAGTCAACCCTTCGCATGAGGTGGCCAGAGTACTGGAGTTTCAGCTTCAGCATCAGTCCTTCCAATGAACACCCAGGACTGATCTCCTTTAGGATGGACTGGTTGGATCTTGCAGTCCAAGGGACTCTTAAGAGTCTTCTCCAACACCGCAGTTCAAAAGCATCTCAATCTTTATTTTCTAGTAAATGCATTTTAAGGCTATACATTTACCTCTAAGTACAACTTTAACTGCATCTTTCAAGTTTTTAAAAATTTATCTATTTTTAATTGAAGAATAATTGCTTTCAATATTGTGTTTGTTTCTCCCATACATCAACATGAATCAGCCATAAGTATGTCTCTTCCGTCTTGAACCTGCATCCCCCTTTAAGTTTCAATACATTATATTTCTATGGCTCAATTCTAAATATTTTGTTACTTAAGTAGTGATTTACTATATTCAAGGGGTTATTAAAGAATACATTGAAATTTATAACATTTATTTCCTGGATGATCTTGGTCTATCTCTTTATTGTTCATTTTCATAAAAATACAATTTATCAGAAGATGTGTTCTGTGATACTGATACTTTTAAAATTTCTGAGATGTTCTCTGTGTTAGTTCAAGTTCAGTTTTCTTGAATGCTTTATGGATGTTCTTCATTTGTTGGTACAGCAGTCCATTGTCATGTCTGTCTGATCAAACGTAACTTGCTTTGTTGAATGAGTCTTTAATATCTTAACTTCATCTACTTGCTTTATCTATTCTGTATAGAAATACTCTAAAGTCTCCAGGTCTGATTGCAAAATGTTCATTTCTTTTAAAAAAAATTTATTTATTTTAATTGGAGGCTGATTACTTTACAGTATTGTAGTGTTTTTTGCCATACATTGACATGAA